CAGCCCAGACAGAAGAAAACCCTCATTGATTTTTCTGCCTTTCTTTGTGTGCAAAGAACCCTTTTTACATTTAGGAATAACTTACATTTTCTTGGAGGCGCCTCTGCCAGGAAACGGCCTGGTGTACGGCCAAAAGCGAGGCTCTTGATTATAGGGCTCACTTTCCACCGAGAGAACCTAGTTCTCATTCGGGGGCCGTAATTGCAGAGGCCGCCTTCCTTGACTCAAAATAAAGGCCTTTTAATGGCCTTCAGATGTGAAATGAGAGTCTTTCCAAAGAAGGACTCCCGTTTTCCTCGATCTCAGTGTTGGGTGGGCCTCTGGGCATGTGCAGAGTGTAAACAACAAGGCTATTCGAGTGTCAGAGGAAGGCAAAGGCTGGATCTATATGCAGAGACCCCTATAAGGCAGTTCAATACAGAGCCATATAATGCAATTCTATGCTGACCCATATAATGCATTTCAATGGAGACCCATATAATGCAGTTCAATGCAGACCCATACAATGCAATTCAATGCAGACCCCTATAATGCAATTCAATGCAGACCCCTATAATGCATTTCAATGCAGACACATATAATGCATTTCAATGCAGACCCATATAATGCATTTCAATGCAGACCCATATAATGCATTTCAATGCAGTTCAATGTAGACACATATAATGCAATTCTATAGACACATATAATGCAATTCAATGTAAACGCATATAATGCAATTCAATGCAGACGCATATAATGCATTTCAATGCATTTCAATGTAGACACCTATAATGCAATTCTATAGACACATATAATGCATTTCAATGCAGACGCATATAATGCAATTCAATGCAGACGCATATAATGCATTTCAATGCAGACGCATATAATGCATTTCAATGCAGACCCATATAATGCATTTCAATGCAACCCATATAATGCATTTCAATGCAGTTCAATGTAGACACATATAATGCAATTCTATAGACACATATAATGCAATTCAATGTAGACGCATATAATGCAATTCTATAGACGCATATAATGAAGTTCAATGCATACGCATGTAATGCAATTCAATGCAGACCCATATAATGCAATTCAATGCAGACCCCTATAATGCAATTCAATGCAGATGCATATAATGCATTTCAATGTAGACGCATATAATGCAGTTCAATGGAGACCCATATAATGCATTTCGATGCAGATCCATATAATATACGTCAGTGCAGGCCTATATAAATACATTATATGGGCATATAGTGCAGTTCAATGCAACCGAATGCAGACCCATTTGATGGAGTTCAGGCCTATTGGATCATGGGAGTTGTAGTCCCACAAGGGCTTGGGACTACAAATCCCACCAGGCTCCCAAGGCTGGGAGCATTTCTCCGGACACAACGCCATCTCTGTTCTCATCAGGGTCCAACTTTATTCGCACAGGGGCTCCTTTAAGAAACGTCCAAAATGTCAACAATCTCAGAAACCACAGAATCCGCACACAGGGTCCCTTTCCAGCTGCAAGAGACGAAACCCTATAATTTCAACATTTTTTGGGGTTGTTTTGACAGCTGTTTTTGGGTAGAAAGGCTTGCAGAGGAGATTCACAAAATGCCACTTTTTCTAGGAAGGGAAGCCATAGATGCTGGTTCTGCAGAAACCGTCCCAACGGATCCTGGCTTCTCCTTTTATGATTAGGGAAATATTATATCCAAAGGCCAGAAAAGCTCCTCTGTTGCTGGAAGGTGCCCTTTAAGGGGCATTTGCGGGTGCGTCTACACCGTAGAGTGAACACAGTTTGACATCACATTGAACGGCATTGAATCCTGGGAGTTGCGGTTTTACAAGGTCTTTAGCCCAACTCCCAGGATGATGATAATGATGACGATGCGATTATTGTTATTATTATCATCATTATAGTATAATTTTATTATTATTTCATTATTATTAATTATTATAATAGATTTATTACATTTTATTATATGTATTATTGTTATATGTATTATATTTGTTATTATATTTTGTTTATTATGTTTTATTATATGTATTATTATCTTATATATATTATTATTATTTATTTATTATTTAAAACACTTATATTCTGCCCTTTTCACCCCGAAAGGGACTCAGAGCGGAGCACAACATATACATGGCAAACATTCAATGCCTAGGTACAATACATAAACATTAAAAAACATTTATCTAAATATGATATTTGTTTTTATATTTTATTATGTTTTATGTGTATAATTATTATATTTATAATTTATTGTATTTTATTATATGTATTATTTTATAAATATATTTGTTATTGTATTTTGTTTATTATGTCCTATTATATATATTATTATATTTATTTATATTATATGTATTATATGTTATATATTACATTTGGTATTATATTTTATTTATTATATTTTATGTATTATTGTTTATATTATTATATTAATGTTATTATTTTATCATTATATTATGATTTATTATTACTTTCATTATTACTATAATTACTGTCATTTTTTCATCCTTATTATATTTTATTATATGTATTATTTATTATTATATTTACTATTATTTATATATATTATGGTATTATATGTATTACTATACTTTTTATTATATTTTATTATATGTATTTTGATTATATTATTAGTAAAAGTAAAGGTTGTCCCCTGACATTAAGTCCAGTTGTGACCGACTCTGGGGATTGGTGCTCATCTCCATTTCTAAGCCGAAGAGTTTAGAGCGTTGTCCATAGACACCTCCAAAGTCATGTAGCTGGCATGACTACATGGAGCACCCTTACCTTCCTGCCAGAGCGGTACCTATTGATCTACTCACATTTGCATGTTTTCGAACTGCTAGATTGGCAGAAGCTGGGCCTAACAGCAGGAACTCACGCCGCTCCCCAGATTCGAACCTGTGACCATTATATCTATTATTTATCATTTGTGTTTTTGTATTTATTGTTATTTTTTTATTTATTATTTTATTGTCATTATGATGATTACTATTACTATTATCATTTTTCATCATTATTATATTATTTATTATTATATTATATTTACTATATGTTATATGTATTCATACGTTATACACCGTATATTATATTTGTAATTATATTTTACTATACGAATCATTATTTATATGTATAGAATAACACAGCACGCATACACTCTTTGCTTGAGGCAAGTAGGAATGTGGCAACGGGCCAGCTTGATTAGCACTGAATGGCCTTGCAGCTTCAAAGCCTGGCTGCTAATGCTTGGTTTATATCCCTGTGGAATAATATCCAGGGTGGGAGAAAGAACTCTTGTCTGGTTGGGGCAAGTGGGAATGTTGCAATGGGCCAGCTTGATTAGCATTGAATGGCCTTGCAGCTTCAAAGCCTGGCTGCTTCCTGCTTGGGGAAATGCTTGGTTTATATATCCCTGTGGAATAATGCCCAGCGTGAGAGAAAGAACTCTTGTCTGTTATAGGCAAGTGGGAATGTTGCAATGGGCCAGCCTGAGTAGCATTAAATGGCCTTACAGCTTCAAAGCCTGGCTGCTTCCTGCCTGGGGGGAATGCTTGGCTTATATACCTGTGGAATAATGTCCAGGGTGGGAGAAAGAACTCTGTCTGTTTAGGCAAGTGTGAATGTTGCAATTGGTCAGCTTGATTAGCATTAAATGGCCTTGCAGCTTCAAAGCCTGGCTGCTTCCTGCCTGGGGGAATGCTTGGCTTATATATATACCTGTGGAATAATTGCCTCAATCAGACAAGAAGGAATGTTGCAATGGGCCATCTTGATTAGCAATGAATGGCCAGCCTGAGTAGCATTAAATGGCCTTACAGCTTCAAAGCCTGGCTGCTTCCTGCCTGGGGGGAATGCTTGGTTTATATCCCTGTGGAACAATGTCCAGGGTGGGAGAAAGAACTCTTGTCTGTTGGAGGCAAGTGGGAATGTTGCAATGGGCCAGCCTGATTAACATTAAATGGCCTTGCAGCTTCAAAGCCTGGCTGCTTCCTGCCTGGGGGAAATGATTGGTTTATATCCCTGTGGAACAATGTCCAGGGTGGGAGAAAGAACTCTGGTCTGTTGGAGGCAAGTGGGAATGTTGCAATGGGCCAGCCTGATTAGCAATGAATGGCCTTGCAGCTTCAAAGCCTGGCTGCTTCCTGCCTGGGGGGAATGCTTGGTTTATATATCCCTGTGGAATAATGCCCAGGGTGGAAGAAAGAACTCCTGTCTGTTGGAGGCAAGTGGGAATGTTGTAATGGGCCAGCTTGATTAGAAATGAATGGCCTTGCAGCTTCAAAGCCTGGCTGCTTCCTGCCTGGGGGGAATGATTGGTTTATATCCCTGTGGAACAATGTCCAGGGTGGAAGAAAGAACTCTGGTCTGCTTGGGAATGTTGCAATGTTGCAATGGGCCAGCTTGATTAGCATTAAATGGCCTTGCAGCTTCAAAGCCTGGCTGCTTCCTGCCTGGGGGAATGCTTGGCTTATATATATACCTGTGGAATAATTGCCTCAATCAGACAAGAAGGAATGTTGCAATGGGCCATCTTGATTAGCAATGAATGGCCTTGCAGCTTCAAAGCCTGGTTGCTTCCTGCTTGGGGGAATGCTTGGTTTATATATGCCTGTGGAATAATGTCCAGGGTGGGAGAAAGAACTCTTGTCTGTTGGAGGCAAGTGGGAATGTTGCAATGGGCCATCTTGATTAGCATTGAATGGCCTTGCAGCTTCAAAGCCTGGCTGCTTCCTGCCTGGGGGAATCCTTAGCATAAGTAGAGTACATGTAGTCTTAAATTGTAAGTGGGGGAAGTTAAAATTCCCACCGCATTTCACATTCTCCTGATGCATATGCAAATGAGCCCCGGGAATATGCAAAACAGGGGACACCTGTGGGTTGCAAGGCTTTTGGAAGGCAAGAGAGGCTCAGCCTGCAAGGCAACCTCTGCATTGGGAAAACAAAACACCTGCAGGAGTGCCAAACAAGAGGGAAAAGGGGGTCCTTTGGGGTTGTTTACCTTGAATGCAGCCTCTTGCTGGCCGGGGAGTCCGGAGGAGACGCCATGGAAGCTGCTATCCCGTGCAAAGCCCGCGTGTGGACGCCTAATGCGCATCAGCTGCAGAGGAAAGAAAGCTCAGAGCCCTTGCTCCAGGGGGCGGGGCCGCCTGAGCGCCGGACACGCCCCCAGCTCTGACGACGCCGTCTCAAGCTCCGCCTCCTTGAGTTAGGCCTTCCCTTTGCAACTTTGGTCGGCTAACTGGTTCCTTTGGACTCCAGTTCCCAGCATTCCTTGCCATTGGCTCAGGCAGCTGAGGCTTCTGGGAGTTGGAGTCCCAATGTTTTCAAACGCCGCAGAGCCCCCCTAGATTAGAAGAAGTTATACAAATAATAATAAAAATAGGAATAGTAACAGGTAACAATGTAAATAGTCATATAATGAATAGGGACTAATCAGAAAAAGTAATATAAATAATAAAAATAGTAATATAAATAATAGTAAATAAAATGGAGATAAAAATAGTAATATAAATATAATAATGTAAATAATAGTAAACAGAAATAGAAATATAATATAAATATAACAATATAAATAATAATAAAATAGTAACATAAATAATAATAATATAGATATATAAATAATAACTAATAATAAAAATAGTAATATATAATCTAAAATAAAAAATATAATATAATATAAATAATTAATATAATATATAATAACAATAATAAAGTAACATATAATATAATATATAAAATATAATATATAATATATAATATAATAAATAATATAATATAATAATTAATAATATAATTAATATAATAAATATAATATAATATAATATAATAAATATAGTATAATAAATATAGTATAATAAATATAATATAATAATAATATTAATAATAATAATAATAATTAAATAATAATAATAATAATAATAATAATAAATGTAATAAATATAATAAAAAATATAAATAATATATATAATATATAATAATTAATATTAATATTAATAATAATAATAATATATAATATAATATAAAATACAATATAATATAATAATATAATATAATAAATATAATATATATAATAATAAATAATAATAAAAATAGGAATAGTAACAGGTAACAATGTAAATAGTCATATAATGAATAGGGACTAATCAGAAAAAGTAATATAAATAATAAAAATAGTAATATAAATAATAGTAAATAAAATGGAGATAAAAATAGTAATATAAATATAATAATGTAAATAATAGTAAACAGAAATAGAAATATAATATAAATATAACAATATAAATAATAATAAAATAGTAACATAAATAATAATAATATAGATATATAAATAATAACTAATAATAAAAATAGTAATATAAATATAATATAAATAATAGTAAACAGAAATAGAATTATAATCTAAATATAAAAATATAATAGTAATATAAATAATAGTAATATAGATATAATATAAATAATAGTAAATAGTAATATAAATAATAATAGTAATATAGATATATAAATAATAACTAATAATAAAATAGTAATCTAAATATAATATAAATAATAATAAAATAGTAATATAAATAATATTAATATAGATATATAAATAGTAACTAATAATAAAATAGTAATATAAATATATTAATATAAATAATAGTAAATAATAATATAAATAATAATAGTAATATAGATATATAAATAACTAATAGTGAAAAATAGATATATAAATATAATATTATAAATAATAGTAAACAGAAACAGAAATATAATAGAAATATAATAATATAAATAATCGTAAATAGTAATATAAATATCAAATAAATTGTAACAGAAATAATAAAGAGTAATACTACTAATAATAAATATTTATTATTTATTTATTTGCCAAGGTGGCTTTACATATAGGCAACTATTCGACGCCTTAAAACAGTAATAAGATAAATAATAAACATAATCTTAATAATAAATGCATTATCATTGTTATTACTATTACTTATAAAACAATAATATACTTTTATCTCTTGGATGTTGTATGAGTTAGGCCTATTTCTTGAAATGGGAACTACATGTATTCCGCTTCTAATGGTATTTTGTAGAGTCATTGCTGGCTCTGGATTTTTTTTAATGAATCCTGGATGCATTTAATTGAGTTATTTGCATGCATTTCCTTATTCCGACAGACGATGGGGTCAGAAGAAGGAAAAGCATCTTTCTCTTTTCAACTCCATTTTACTACAGTCTGTTGCCATGGAAACTGCCTCTCAGTCTGGACCATGTGTTGTTGCTGCTGCCGCGGCAACCATCACCCAAAGCCATAAAGAGTAAATCTAAGGGTGCATCTACACTGGAGAATTAATGCACTTTGATACCACTTTAACAGCCATGGTCCTGTTATAATAATAATAATAATAATAATAATAATAATAATAATAATAATAATATGCAAAGAACTCTGGCACAAGCCAGTAAAGGTGGTCCCAGTGGTGATCGGCACACTGGGTGCAGCGCCTCAAGACCTTGGCCTGCACTTAAACACAATCAGCGCTGACAAAATTACCATCTGTCATCTGCAAAAGACTACCCGACTCGGATCTGCACACATTATATACTGATACATCACACAGTCCTAGACACTTGGGAAATATTTGCAGAATATGGGCTGATAATAATGCAAAATTTATTGATTTATTTATTTACAGTATTTATATTCCACCCTTCCCACCCCACAGGGGGCTCAGGGTGGATTACAATGCACATATATGTGGCAAACATTCAATGCCATGGACATACACAGAGGCAATTTAACATTCCAGCTTTTCTGGCTTCATGAGGGTATGCTTGGTTCCGGCCACCGGGGGAGCTCTCGCTTCACTGTCCACTTGTGACACCAGGTCCTTTGACGGAGTACTTCCTCATTCTTCTGCACGCTGCTGGAAGGTTTTATGGCGTTGTAAATTAGTTAAATTAGCCTCCCCGCATAAAGCGGTACCTCAATTTCCTCCTTGACAGATGCAATTGTCTTTCGGGCTGCATAGGTCGACAGCAAGCTAGACTATTAATGGTCGGGTGCTTACTCTGACCCAGGCTGGCTTCAAACAATATCAAACACCATGATATCTCGGTCAGTAGTGATTTAATGCAGCCGACTACTAACTAGCTGCGCCACAGCCCAGTCCTTAGAGAGGTATTCCCTAATCTTGAAATCTGTGCAATTCGGAGGAGGGATGTTTTGCACCTTTAAATCGTGCCCTTCCTTTTCTATAAGGCGAGGTTGAGTTCATTCCTTTCCGCTTGGTGACAACTGCACAACAAAGGTGTGCCTCCCTCCCTCCCGCCTCTCTTGCCGCCTCTCTCTTGGGAGGAAAACTTTGCAGAGTTTTGCAGAGAGCTGCAAAAAGGAAAGCCTTGGAAGAGGTCGATCCATCCAGCCAGCAGGTAATGGGCAGAAAGAAGGGGCGTCTACACAGCAGACTTAACACAGTTTGATGCCACTTTGAACTGCTATGCAATCCTGGCTATTGGGAGTTGGGCAGGAAAGGCTCAAGGCCTTGTCACACTTCAAGGGTGGCATGACAGAGGAGCCATGGCAGTTTAAAGTGGGGCCAAACTGTATTGATTCCACAGTCTAGATGCACCCTAGAGGACAGATAATAAGGATAATAATAATAATTATTATTTCATATCAAAAGCATTGCATAAATTAGTATAAAACTGATTTAAAAAACAGAAGGTATGCAGGCGGCTAAATATCTTTTGACCAAAAACGGGCAACAGCAACGGCATTGTCTGTAGCCTCCAACAATTCCTCCTCTGTACATGAGGCAGGGCACAGTGGACAAACATACAGATTTGTCTGTTCTGCTCCACAGTCACACAAGATGTGGGAAATATTTATGATAATGACTATAAAATATAATAATAATAATAATAATAATAATAATAATAATAATAATAATATACACATGGCTGGGAAATTTCATTTTCTTAGAGCCAAACTGCATTAATTCCACGATGTAGATCCGGTATGGGCAAACCCAGGGCTGGGGGCCGGATGCGGCCCCTTGGGTTCTTTTCTCAGCCCCCCCCCCCCACCATCCTGTCCTTCCTCCTCTCTCTTTCCTTCCTCACTCCCTCCTTCCTTTCCACCCTTTCGTTCTTCCCTCTTTCCTCCTTCCTTCTCCCTCTCGTTCTCCTCCCTCCCTCCCTCCCTCCCTTTGGTCTTTCTTTCCTTCTCTCTTTCCTCCTTCCTTCCCTCTCTCTTTCCCCTCCCTTCCTTCCTTCCTTCCTTCCTTCCTTCCTTCCTTCCTTCCTTCCTTGTCTTTCTTTCCTTCTCTCTTTCCTCTCTAACTCCATTCACTTCCCCTTCCCCTCCTCTTCTCCCTCCCTCCTCCCTCCTTCTTTCACCCTTTCATTCTTCCTTCCCTTTCTCCTTACTTCCCTCTCTCTTCCTCCTTCCTCCTTCCTTCTTCTTCCTTTTGTCCTTCCTGTCTAACCCATTCATTTCCACCATCCCCTCCTTCCTTTCCACCCTTTCGTTCTTCCCTCCTTCCTTCCCTCTCTCTTTCCCCTTCCTTCCTTCCTTCGGTCTTTCTTTCCTTCTCTCTTTTCTCTCTAACTCCATTTACTTCCACCCTCCCTCCCTTCTTCCTTCCTTTCCACCCTTTCATTCTTCCTTCCCTCTTTCCTCCTTCCTTCCCTCTCTCTTTCCCCTTCCTTCCGTCCTTTGGTCTTTCTTTCCTTCTCTTTCCTAACTCCATTCACTTCCACTCTCCCTCCTTCCTTCCTTTCCACCCTTTCGTTCTTCCCTCTTTCCTCCTTCCTTCCCTCTCTCTTTCTCCTTCCTTCCTTCCTTTTGGTCTTTCTTTCCTTCTCTCTTGTCTCTCTAACTCCATTCACATCCACCCTTCCCCTCCTCTTTCCTTCCTCCTTCCCTCCCTTCCCCCCTTCCTTCCTTCCCTTTGCTCTTCTTTCCCTCTTTCCTTTCTTCCCTCTCTCTCTTTCCTTCCTTCCTGGTGTAGATGCACCCTAGAACACAGTTGAAATGTTGTTGTTGTTCTGTGAAATGGGGAAAGAATTAATGTGATGTTAAAGAGCTGCAGGGAGAGGTGGGTAATACAATTATTATTATTATTATTATTATTATTATTATTATTATTATTGACACAAAAACACGGTATGTCACAGCAAATGAGATATATATGCTGGATTTCGTAACACAAAATCACAAGTTGAACACTTCCCAAGCATCTAGGACTGTGTGATGTGACCATATGTGTGATGGTGATGATGATGATG